GTTTGGCTGCAGGTTTCGCCATTGGAATCGTTGGGGATGCTGGTGTGCGAGGAACTGCACAACAGCCAAGGCTGTTTGTTGGAATGATCCTTATCCTTATTTTTGCTGAAGTACTTGGGTTGTATGGGCTCATTGTAGCTCTTATACTTACGACTAAGCTGTAATCTGGGAATGTATGCATGGGCAGAGTCTTAGCCAAAACAATGGTTATTTATATTGACTGCACATGAGTTTTGACTGAATAATTTATATTTGTTGATTCCCTGCCATTTTAATTAATTTTTTTTTCCTTTTGTAGATGCCAGGTATCCATTGTATTAATTATTTTTATCTTGATATTGAAGACAATTTTATTTTGTCATGCAACATTTATAATGTTTGAAAGATTTTTATCTCCTCTGAGTATTTTTAAACAGACACTTAATATGTATTATTGAATCATAAAAATTCTGATAAAATCCTTTTCGTAATATAATGAATTCTTAATTTTATTGAATGCCATAATTTCTAAAGAACAAAGATTTTTATTTTTTATGATGGATACTGGTATTTTCTTGTATATTTTGTAAACCTGTCATCCTTTTTGTTTCAAATCTCTCTGCCCTGTCTCCCTGTAATCTTGGGTGTCCATATTGTAGATTAAAAACACTTTTGAAATTGTTAGATATATTTAAGAAGAAAAAAAAACTCATTTTATTTTCAATTTAATTGATTCATGTGAGGGAATTACGACAGTGTACATACTATTTGTGTTTTAAGTGTAATGTCTATGAAATTCATCACTAAATTTCAGTCTAGTAATCCCTTGTGTAATATTTCTTAAATTAAAAAAAAATATTTTAATTAGTTAAAATTTATTTTTAAAGTTATTCTGCTAATTGTTAAAATAAATTGTATTATGCATCTTGGGATTACTATGTTAGGGTAGCGTGTTTATATGAATAATCAGACTTTTTTTTTTCTTTTTAACTGTACTTCTTTTATTTCAATTGAAGTGGAATATCAGCAGTATAGTTGGTGGTTTAGGTACAAATAAGCAAGACATGATTAATGTTTTATTTTGTGTTGTTGAACATTGTTTATGCAAAATTTTAATATTTTATAGAACAACATTATATCTTATTGTTATATTTATAGTGATAAAATTAACCAAAGTTTGGATTAGAAGAGTTTAATTTACAATCGTAGAAGTTTGCAAAATTCTAGTGGGCACCCTGTTGTCACTCCATGTTTTATATGTGTTGTATGCATCTGGTGTTGATACAAGATTAAAATAAAAAAAAGCTGTTCTCTTGCACCATCTAAGTGTTAAAAAAAAAAAAAAAAACTGTCAGCATGCAGTTATAGATGTATATGAGAGTATTTTATTGCTGATTTGTCTCACAAATAAGTAATATATTTGCATATCATTTCAGCACACAATGGCTGTTTGTCCTCATAGATTGTAAGTTTTAACTATAAAAAAAATCTGAACTTTATTTCACGTGATTGATTAATCTTATTGATAATCTTTTTGATTCAGGGGTAGAATTTTTGTGTACACTTTCAAAGTCAATACTTAAGAATTTTAATGTTATTTTTAACATCATCAAATCTAGTCCTGATTGTTTTAAATGAATCGTTGTGTTAAATGACATTAAAGCAGGGTTTAAAAACAATCTCATTTTTTTTTATAAAAAAAATGTCAAATTATGATAGGCTAATTACCATTCTTTAAATTGCACTTACATCTGAAAACATTTCATCAGCCAGTATTTATTTTTATTTTATTTAGTTAAAGACATCAGATCTAGTACTAAATATCTATGTATGTAACCTCGCTCTAGTGAACATTTTGTGACAATAGGATCATTAATTTACTTTATTTGTGTAAATCCTTAGTTTTTTTTATTTACTTACAATTTATTCAAGAAATTTGCTGAAACACAATGTTTTAAATTTCAAATTTTTTTTTTCATGCCTGGATTGATTGTGAACCCTGCATTAAAGAGCCTATAATTTTGTAATGTATTATGCAAATTTCAATGTACTATGCAAATTTTATTTATGCAATGAAATAAAAATATATATATAATTTACTTTTAGATCTGCGGTATATGTTAAATTGGCAATGTTCAAGTGCGGATGTTGTGAGACTTGTTTATCCATGTATTTTAACATTGCTGATAAATATTAGTCACATGGTGGAGCAGCTGGTTGTGAGTTAATAATTTCATTTTCATCGAGCTTGTTAACTTAAAAATTACAGCTTATTTTGTTACGTTACATTTTTGTCATATAATCCATTAAAATTTTAAATGCTGTCATGATATCAACTTTATTACTGTTTTGGCTTTATTGTTGGTGAAACAATTGAACATAATTGTATATTTGACTAAAACTAAATATAGTTATGTATATGTTTGTGCAAATTATCAATTTCTTAATATTTCTTTTATACTGCCCTCTTATTTTCAATGAAAGTGTCAAATAATTTTAGATTTTTTATTTTCGAGTTCCTAAATGATTTTCTATTCCCACAGTTTATCATTCCATCTTGTTTATATATTTTTTGTGATTTAATCATATTTAAAATTTGTAGTTATAAAAATTTTTTAAATCTTTATTAATTATTCTTTGATCTATGCAAATTTTTACAAATGTTTTCAAATTTAATTTTTTTAACCATTTAAGAGTTAAATTTTACTGCATTAAAAATGTTTTAATGTATTTTCAAATGATTATTTATATGTGAGGTAAAGTGCTATTCTTAAAATATATAGTTATCTACATAGATAATATTGATGTAATAGTTGTGAGCAAAAAAACTCATTAGTAGATATAGCCTGTTTAAAATAAACATTGTAATGATTTAGTTTCATAGAGGCTTCGTGTTTATTGAAATAGAAGTCTCTTTGTTCAATGTGTATGATGGTTATGTTCATTATTTTGCAAATAAAAATATCATAAATTTCGTATCGAGCTTTACTTGTTTTGCTAGATCCACTCCTACTGTTTGTCGACGATTTATCCACTGTAAATAATCTTGGGAGGTTTATATCTTTAATTTTTCTTAAAATTAGATTCCTTATTTCAGTCTTGAGTGTAAAAATTAGTGCTTGTGTTTTGCCACACCCTTTAAGAGATTTTAATGCAAATTCATAATCATTCTAAAATTATTTTAAAAAAATGTATAAACAAAAAGACATGGAAGAAATAAAGTTACGACAGGTATTGCCTGCACTTTCGGTATTAAATTCTTTGATGTAGAAGAACCATAGAAGTAATAATTCAATCTGCTGACATTTACTGTATCAAGCATTTTGTTTCTTAAAATTAAAATTTTGAAAATTTTAATTTTCCTAATTACTAATTTTTGTTGGTAAATAGTTAAATGTCTAATTTTAATTTAAATTAAAGTTTTTAAGAAAAATAATAAGAATTAAACTTATTAATTTGAAATTGTCATTTTTAAAAGGAAATTAAACAGTGAAAACAGTACTAGTTGATGGAAAGAATTATTTATGAGATTTTGTTAAAAAGCATTAAAATTTGTAATTTTAAATTAGGGGGGAGGGAATTTCGGGTAATGGTGTTACATAGCCACCTACTAAATATTGCCCATCTTTTTTATTCATCTGTGTTGCCTAATACAGGTTGATTGAAATTTTAAGACTTTAATTACGGGCTACTAGCTCTGGTTCTATTAAATTGATCCAAATACGATTTCAAATGTTTGCTTGGTTGAATGATTTTGTGGTCAAGGTTTGGGTCAGAAAAAGGAAATATTTAAAATTTTGCGAATTGATTCTGCTGCACATGCATATTATTTGGGTGACTAAGTATGCACAAACGAGGTGGCCATCTGCCTCGAAAGCCTGGAATTATCGGGGTATTTTTTTCATTCTGGTGAATTAAGTTAAAAACTTAAGAAAACCATGGAATTTCAAAGAAAAACTACAGAAACTTATTCACAAACAGTTGAAATATTGCCTACTTAGCTTGCATGAAAACTTGCTTTTTAATAACCCTGTTAAACTAGATAATGCCGCCTGAAATAGAGTGGGTTAAAAAAAATTTTTCTTCGAATTTTGGAACGCTTTAGTGGAGAAAAGTTGCAGATTGAATTAAGAATAAAATCTGCATATTTTTTAAAAAAACTCTATTATTACCTTTAGGTTGCACATCGTATTGAAATAAAAAGTAAACTTGAAAAAATCTAATCTTTTTCACAAAATTAAAGTAAGTTCACAAAATTAATTTTTTTGCATTTGCGCTATATTTCAGAAAAAAAAACATTTCAATCAATTCCTAATTTTTAAAGTATATCTCTTCCCTCATTATGTTAGATCAAAACAATCTTGGAGTTGCACGTTGAATTTCACTTAAACACCCTATTCAACAAACCATCCAATTTTTTCATGCAGATTTTTCATTACATTTAGAGATTGGTGAAGATTTTTATTGGAGTAGTATTCATTGGTTTACTGAATTATTAAGGTTTCTTTTTTATGCCTACTACATATTTTAAATACGATTTTTTGGTCTTTCATGCAACAATTTCATATCTGCTCCTACTGTACATTTTAAATTCAATCACTATGGGCATTGCCCAGAAGGCTTGGAAAATAACGATCTAATTCCTTTGCCTCATTCCAGACTGCTAACTTTTTGAATTCATGTGATTCAAAAAAATACACATTGCAATCCATATTTCTGTGATTTAAAAGTCACACATCATAATTAGCATTCGTGCGTCACACATCAGGAAGAAATTGCACTCATGTTGCTGTTGCTAATCTCGGAATCGTCTAGCAGCACTAGACGACTCCCATGAATCTGAACACCTCCAAAAAGAATATGCGTAGGGGAGGCCATGTCTGTCGAACACCAATGACATTCAGGATAAGTTTTTTGGCCCGCCCCGGTTGAAAGTAAGAGTTGCACTCATTCGATCTTCTTTTGACTATTTTGAGTAATAAAGTATTAACCTGTGTAAGTCACGGAAAGTGTTTGGTAATGGTCATAAAAAATCATGGAAAGTCATAGATTTAAAAACTCTAGATTTAGCAGATACCCTGTATATAGAAAGAATCTTAAAAGCAAGAAAAACTGTTCCAAATAAAGAAAAAAAAATTTAGAAATTTTTTTTTTCCGGATTACTTTGAAATCATTAATTGGTGTGTTATATCCTTTCCCTATGCTGCAAGACTTTGAAAATATTCTCGTATTTAAACACACATTTTGCTGACGCTTCGTCTGGTGAAGTTTAAATATAAATTATATTGTAACATTATAACAAATATAAATAAATGAATTTTAATGTGAATAAAAATAAATATCATTGAACTAAATAAATAACGTAACATAAACGTATGATTATGCATATATAAATAACATATATTTGCTCGCATAACCAGGGGCGTACGCAAGGGGGGGGGGTTAGGGGTTTAAACCCCCCCCCCCTTGAGCTCAGACAAAGTGAATTTACAAAATAATACAGAAAAAAATAAAAATTTTAGTAGAAATTATGCGGGTTATNGATGCTCTTGGAATGTGCAATAAAGATATAACACCAAACATTTTCAAACTCCTAGAAATATTGGTCGTTCTACCTGTTTCAACGAGTGCAAACGAAAGATCCTTTTCGACTTTGCGCCGTTTGAAGACTTATTTACGCAACTCAACGGGAAATAATAGAATGAATGGATTGGCGCTCTTAAGCATTCATAGAAAATTTACCCCAGCTGTCGAAGACATTTTAAACGAACTTGCAAAAAAACCCCGTCGTTTGGATATTACAGTATAAATCAATAAATTTTTAGCGTGTTTGTATACTGGTTTAATTCCCTATTTGTTGGTAAGTCATTTTTTAGTTAAATTCATTGGTTTTCTATGGAATATTCACATTTATATGGTTATTATTTAGGTAGCTGTTACAGTATGAGTAGTTTTTTCTGGTTTGATTTATTCCTACTTTTTAATAAAAATAAAATATTTTACCTCTTATTATAAAACAAATTATATTCTTAAACTTAAAAAATAAAAACAAAATTTAACTAAACAGTGTTGTCGAAATAAAAAGTCAAAATTGTCTAGCTGTCTAAATTAGGGAAGTAATAGTGCTTTATTACATAATCGAATTTCTTTTAGTAATTTCCCCCTTGAAAAAATTCTGCGTACGCCACTGCGCATAACTATAATACAAAAAAAAAGAAAAGATTTTCGTTTTCATACCATGCATTTCTTTCTTTTATGAAAGAAAAAAAATATTGATAATGCAAAAATCTTATGTTAAATTTAATTAATACGCTCATAATTTGTGTTTGTCAACATTACTAAAAATTTATTTACTTATTAAATCTGCACTTTGTTGTACATTTAACTAAAAAATCATTATTCTTTGAAGCAAAATATTCTTAGACATTTTGATTAATTGATGATTTTAAAAATTTTAATATCTATTTTTAATTTAAATTTTGCTAAAAAAATTATAAAAATATTTTTGAATTAAACATTTCTATACGTGTATCATTTAGTACCTATACATTTTAACTTCACATAAATAACGAGCGTCTTATTTCAATTTAATACAATGTAAAAAAAATCTATTCTAGTTTTTTTTTCGTTTTAAAAAATGTAGAAATGAAACTTTAGTAAAACTTTTTAATTTAAAAAAAAAATTAATTTTGGAAAAAATCTATTCTAATCACTTGAAAAAATATATGATTTTCTAAACTTGTAATGATTAGGAATTTTAACTATTTAGTTAGTTTTAAGTATTTTTTAAGTTAAAAATGGAATTAATAAAATTTAAATTGCATTGAATTCAAATTAAATATTTAATAAATTTTAATATTATTTTTAATTTAAATATTAATTTTCTTAAATATATCAGTTGTATTAAATTATTTTAAATTTAGGAACAAATTAGGTATGTATATATTTATATCAAACTAAAAATAATTTTTATTTATAAACACATACACGTGAAGTAAAATCTTTATTTTATATCGTTAACTTGCTTGGTATTGATTTGTTTAGCATAGCACTGAAGTTAACGCTTGAAAATATTTTAAAATTTATTATTATTTTAAATATTAAATACCAAATTTTATTAAAATGAAAATAAAATCTTTTCTTTATTCTATACAAATAATACTTTTAACACTAACTTATGTTTCGTTACCACAAAAGATAAATGTACAATTTTAAATTAGCAAAAAAATCATTTCATGATAGTGACATTAAAAACTAGTTTTTCATATAACACTTTCTCCAAATTTATTACATATAATAATTACTAGATGGCAGCACCAGTGACAAAATCGGAATTTTCGCAATGAATGTATTTATTGAATGTAATTAAAGATTTCGGTCAGTTATATACTATAATTCTGTTCGCTAATATTCTTTCATTTTTAGGTTAAGTAAGGAATAAAAAAAAAAAAGAATCACTGTTAAAAGCGGTGGGATTAAAAAATATCATAGCCTATTTGGATGTCTGAGGAAACTTCAATTATTAATAAAAAAAAATTATTTATTTAAAATTTTTTATTTATGTAATAAATATTTATATTATTTATATAATAAATAGTAATTACTGTTTCAAATGTTACAACTAAGTTTTCAAGTAGTTTAATTTCTTGGTTTGAAGATTTAATAATAGAGAGTAACTACCTACTTTTCTCTTCAATCAAAAAGGATTTAATTTACAAGAATTTATTTATTAAAGGATTGATTTCAAAAAATTTTTTTTCCCGATATTTTGTTCCGTTTCTGTAACTAAAGAAAAAGTAAAAATATTTTAATGAAGTATGATTCACATGAAAAAGAAATTTTATTTACGTCACTATTTGAAAGAAAAATGAGAAACTCTTATGTCCCATATATCACAGTAGATGGCAGCATCATATGTAGTCATATGCTTTTGCTCTTCGCTTTTCAGATTGTATGTAGATAATGGTAAACAAT